AAAATGCCAAAAAGAACGCGTTTTCAAAAATTTTAAAATGGACTCTCAAAACACAAAATACAAAATAATTTCAAAACTCAAAACGCAAAATTGAAACACAAAGAGAACGACCCCTAATTTTCTGTTTTTGTACAGGTAATAAGAGCAAATGAAGTCTAAGGTTTTAAATCCACGAAGTATCGTCTCAAAATGCAGCAAAAGATGGAGATTGTAAAGTGTTTCTTGATTTTTATGGTGGCCCAATATATTCTGTCTCTAGCCCAAGTTACTTTGGCTCAAATCGGATCCAATAAGTTGGATATATATAGTCAGAATATTTTTTAGGGTTCGGAACTTTTAATTTTTAGGGCGCGGCAGCTTTCTTCTTTCATATCCTCTCTGTAATTGATCTCTAATTTTCTGCATGAATTTTTTGTGAGATAGGAGAGTAGAGTGATGAACTCTTGTGTGAGTTCATGAGTGTTGTAACAGGATTGTATGATTTTATGATGTTTTGTGACCATGTACTGTAACTTGATTTCTTGCTTATTTTTGGGCGATCTTTGGTGGATTTGAGATTATTCCTAACAGATGCTCAACAGGGATTAGGTGTTAGAAGTGGTCGCCGAACATCGGGCCCTTTGGGCTGAAAAATTATTGCGTTGATTCTTGTTGATTTCTTTTCTGTTTTTTACTTACAAATCGAAACCACAAACTCGTTTGGGACCAACATCCTTCATTAAAATGATTTATATTGATGCTATTGAGTTGCATTTTTCAAGTTTAACTAAATGCAACAATATACATCAACTCGTTAACCACAAGCAAAATAGTTGCTTGAACGAATTCTTGAAAAATATGTTTCAAGCTCACTTCGAATTTCTTTGCATCTTAAGGGGCCGAAAATGCTGAGTTGAAAGGGATGAAAGAATTGCAAGCCTTTTATTAATTCAAAATTATATCTATTCAATTTGTAGAAACGCCTTTCAAATTCAATATCAAATTTGAATTGAAGATTAAGCCATATTTAGAGAATGGAACAGCTCAGCTAATTGACTTGCTAACCCAGGAATGGAGAATGCGGGGAAAGGATTTGTCATTCTCGAACCATTAGGAACTCAAGGAAAACTCATAGGATTAAGTATGTCGTAGGTGTAATTTCTACACTTATTTGGACCACCAAAAGTAAACATTTGGAAGTCAAACTGATAACATTACTACTTAATTTGGTTAAATATCGATTGTTGTAGGATACACTCGAGTTTGGAGGACTTTTGATCAAAAGAAGTAATAATTGGCCAGAGAAGGTCTCAAATTAAGAATTCCAAAATTCGAAGATTAAATTGCAAATATTCAAAAGTTGATTCGAATCAAGGGATGATTGAAGTTTACAAAGATCAAATTGGATAAATTTACAAGACGAACTGTGAAAACTGTACAAAAAAGACTCAAGATGAAGAAAGAAAAAATTTAGGGACCAAAATGAGGAAAGAGAAAAATTGGGGGCTTGCGATTGTAGCAGAACACAGAAAGGATGGCCGTTGCAATTGTAGCCCATTGCATGGTGCAAATTGCAATCACATGGTTTTAATATGGCCACATGAAACAATTTCCTTATCTGATTCAACTACCTTATGGAAACTACTTTGGACAGAGATTTCAACCTAATTTCAGCACTTATTAGTACAGAACTTCAGCAACAATAAAAACACCTTTCATACCATACAACACAAATTCTTGCAATCAAGGGATGCAATATATCAATCTTTTGTGAGAAATCCTTTGAAGAATATTTCTTGATTCGTGGGCAAAGAAGAGGAAGGTACAATTGGAGATTGATCAAGAAAGATTGAAGAGATACAATTTTTCTTAGCTTCTCATCTTTTTCTTCATATATTTCAAATTTGGGTGATCTATGATAATTCAAACATGATTTCTTGTAACTCTGTAATACTAGCTAAATTTTCAGTCGCTAAGACATAGATAAACCCTTATTTATGAAGTTTTTAGTATTTTAATTTCAATACTTTGCGCTCAATAATTATTTACTTAAATGATTGTTACAAGATTTAATGATATTCAATTATTTGATTGCTAATTGAATTGAAGTGTGATTTTTGTTATATTAGAGAGGAATAATAAAAAAGATAGCATGTTATAACAATTGTTGTGAGGTCCGATAAAAAATAGAGATATTCAGCTATGAAATTGTAAAGACGCCTATATTTGTGCAGAAATTTTATCTAAAAAAATGTCTTGATCAAGGTCTAATAACTGGAAGTCATCATTAATACTAGAATAATGCTACTTGCAGCGCTTACTGCAGCAGTCGTCCTATGTGGCACACACATGTCAAGTGTGTATTTGATGCATTAAATGTAGTAAAAAATTACCATATTAATGCATCAAATAACTACATGACATGTGTGTGCCACATAGGGCGATTGGTGCAGTGAGCGACTGCAAGTAGCATTACTCTAAGACATGAGTAATTACATTAATTCATTCGGTCAACTCTTCAAGAATGAGAGCAATAAATGGAGATAAATATCCCATCTCGTGTTTATGAAGAATTAAAAAAATATAAATCAATTTCACTTATAAAGATCCAAAAAGTAATTCATTTAATTTCATATTAAATCAAAATCAATTTATTAAGATAAAAGAGAATAAATTCATTTACTTATTTCTTTTTATTCCAGTGCTCAATTTGTTTAGCTGAATAAGATGGAGGCAACAATGGAAAAATAAAAATGTTAACACATCGTGGCACCAATATGTTTCTTGTTGATTAATATTACATAATTAACCTTATCGACCAAGTAACTATGGTATTGAAAAAAGCTAGACAGTACATTGCGAAAAAAAAAAAATCAGTTTCTTCTCAATATAATCGAACAAGTCAGTGAACCATATAATCGACATCACTGAATAATGATAACTAATTATAGCATGGGGGAAGAAGAGAGAGAGAGAGACGACGATTGGTGTAAAATCAATCCATGAGTAGGCAACTGGTTATCGCAACAGACCACACAATTGGGGCTTTCATGGTTGTGCACCCCTTCATAGGTTGTTATCACGTATCTTGGATCCTCTCTATCCCTTTCGACCCTTTTCTTCACGTTGCATCCATCCCTTGAGCATTTAAAATAGTTCCTGTTCATAATGAAGCACCACCCTTTTGTCATAATCGAACTTGGAGACTCTAAACTCAAGTTATTTCATATTTCCGAAGGAAACTTGGCAGCAATGAGAAGAATGAGAAGTTTATATATGTATTATAAGTCATGCAATTTCTGGAAAAAAAAACCCAAAATTTTGGCCNCTTGTTTGAGGGAGGGATTGTTGGAGCGAACAAGTCCCACATCGGTTGTGGGAAGAAAATAAATCCACCATATAACCCAAGTGGGATACTCCACCCATTACCAATTGGTTTTGGGATGGAACCTCACTTGGGCCTGATGGTGTGGGCTTGGGCCTTAGGTTATTGCTCTCAATAATACCCTAACAGGCAGCAATGAGAAGTTTATATATGTATTATTAGTGATGCATTTTCTGAAAAAATAACCCAAAATTTTGGCCCTGATCGAGGCTGCTACATGCATATATTAAAAGTTTTAACACATGAGTATGACATAGAATTTGTCGTAGAATATTGTTGATTTGTTCGATAGGGTGGACTAAAAGATATTGGTCAAGAAAATAGAAAAAAATAATTGTCTATTATAATTATTTCAACGACACAACTGTATATTAATGGCAATCATTTCACCAAATACCAAGTGGCTGATGCTGAAGCCTCAACCAGTGATGTTTTTTGTTCTTAAAAGCATTATTTAAGTAGGGAAAAGCAAGACCAAGTTGATATGTGGATATTGTGTTGGTATGGTGAACGAGTGATTGAGAATGAATAGATGCACCATACAAGCAGTTTGGTTGAGCTCAAAAGTAAAATTTATATTTTACATAGATTTGTTTGATCAAAGATACGTACTGAATATTTGGATAATAAGTTAATAATAATTGTGAATTCTATGAAATGTGTGGTTAAAATTAAAATTTGACCAATTTAAATTATAAGTTAAGACAATCCAAACATGCACTAAGTAAATTATTTATTGTTTATAACTTAGAATTTACTTATTTTAATAGTAACATAAAATCATCAAACTTTATAAGGAGGAGAATTTGATAAGGCCCACCTTCAACTTAATTTGATCAATAAAAGAATAAATATTTCTATTTCTATTTATTCCCTTGTAATAAACTAACCTATGAGTAATTTTTGAAGTTTATCTAACTCCAATTCCTCATGGTGAAGACTAAAACACGAAGCACTATTAATTTGTAAGCGACAATCCGAAGTTCAATAGTTGTATAAGTTTGCTCTCACTAAGTATGAAACGACTTTTGTATGCGTGTAAGTGGAAATATCGAACACAAATAAATAAAACTATGTGTGCTCTCTAATAATTGTTTGAACTTTTTCAGATGAGCTAATTCAACAAATCTATTTTAAAATCGATTTGATGATTATTAGAGAGACCTCTCAAACTCATAAATGCTGAACTAGAAAGTGTTACATCAATTAAAATTTTTTTTTCCTACTTCATGAAAATCAAAATTATGGATAAGTGGAGATATTTCACAATTTCTGTCTGATATGTTATGTGAGTTGATGATCCCCATACTTTGATAATATAGCTTCCTATTCTCAATGAAATAATACAAGGTACAATATTAATCGACAAAAAATTAACTGTTTATTTCCTATTTTTATATAAATAATGCATTTTGAAATAGTATACCGATGAAAAAGTTTTAGGTTTGCATATAATATTATTTTATTGAAAAATGTATATTGGGAAAAATGGGTATCGAAGAAGAGCATAGTATTTTCGCAAAAAATTATCATGGGATAATGATGAATGAAACTTTTAACTATATTAAAGTATCATTTTCAGTATCAATTCACAATAATGGAACCATTATGAAATTGAAATCTATCAAATTACATGAAGCAGAAACAGTTTGGTTTAAAATATATCCATCTCTCGCACAGTTTTATGGATGGTGTTAAACCACAAATCATTAATCGATTAACACTTTCAAAATGGTATCGTAAGCTAATTTGAGAATTAAAAAATATTGAAACAAAGTAAAAAGAAAATGTACAAAGAATTACCTCGGATTCGGGCTGTTCTTGAGCATCTTTTTCCCGTATTTTCTCCATTTAAATCCATCATCCATGATTTCGATAGTTGATTTGGTTTTAAACACGAACTTAAACTCGCTCTGTGACTTGTATTTCTTTCTGTTTGTTCTATGTACCCTTCCATAAAAAATACGAACAAATAAATGAAAAATTTTCATGTTCTAGCTAAATCAAGACAAAAAATAAACAAAAAATAAAGAAAAAAAATTAGGGTTTAATTGGACTTGCATGTTGCTAGCCACTGGACTTGAATATGAAGATTCATCGACTACGTTTTCTGCCGGAGGCACGAAAATATCCTCTTCAGAGCCATTGTCAAACACGAAATAATCCGAAACTTCAAAATGTAACGAGTCATCAAACAGCTGATTGGTAATATTTTGATTAGGGTTAGGGTTAGGGTTAGGGTTTTGATACTGGGAATTAGTATCCATTGTGGAGTTGGAAATGGCAAGTCCTCTTGCTGCCCTTTTTATTAAATATTTTTTTATTTTTTTTCTCCTTTTGGCCTTGCACCTTCATCAACTCTTTCCTGGAGGGATCCTTGAAGTTTCTTCATAGTTCCACGTGGCATTATTTGACTTGTATAATGACTTCACCATGCTGACATCAGATAAATTGATTGAGCCAATTGAATTTTAGGACCACATCCACAATGTGCCCTTTTTAATGGGAAACTTATGGGGTTATTATCAAATCACAGTAATTAAATTTTAAAAAAATAATTATTTTACTGCAAAGATAATTTATAATTATGGTATTTATTAACGTTACTTCATGTTCTAAATACGCGAATCCCAAGTTTACGAATTCCCTCTTTAATAAATATCATACAAATATAAGTCAAATATTTTGGAAAATGACTTGAGATGAATCCGATACATAAGATG